TCTACACAAATGGATCAGGAAACAGTATTAATTATTGCCCACTTTCTTTCAGAAAAGCAGCATGTCTCCGACATGAAGAAAAAAACTTTCGAATTATTGACACACAAGATGGGTCCTAGATAATACAGATTCGAATTATTTAGCTGCCTAATTAGTTTGCCAAGCTCGCTCTGCGTGTGATATCATGTCACCAGCACTAGTGCCGTTCAGACTTGAGTAACTGAAAAACAGAACAGAGCAACTGACCCTGTTTGTTCTAGGAAGAACTACAAGCTGATCTACGCAAATCACCTTGAATGAATAAGTGAATCCATCCTAGGATCTTGCGAAACACAGGAGGAAAAGGATACTACTTTTCAGTCTGTCAGCTGATGGAGCTTCCTAGAAGGAAAAAAAAACAGAGAAGAGAATCCCCATCCATGTCCATGTCCATGTCCATGTCCATGACACTAGGCTACCACTACCAGAGCATGTATGTACCTTGGGCGGAGGAGGGCCTGGTTGGTGTGGGAGTAGGCGAGGTGCCCGAGGTCGGCCAGCTGCATGGACACGGCCGGCTCCGAGCTCCCCAGGAAGCGGCTGACGAGCTCCGACGCCCTGGTCTTGGGCGACGGCGTCCGGCTGCCGGCCGCTACCAGCTCCGCCGGCACCTCCACAACCTCGCCGCTGAACACCGCCAACATCTTCACCTAATCAACCTAGCTACCAAAAAGAACCTACGGATCCTACTAATACTACTCTCCCTTGCTAATTGATCAAGGTAGCATAAGCTTCCTGTTTCCACACTCCTTGAACGGAGAAAGGACGGAGCGATGGAGGGGGAAGGCGAGGTGGCTTATATAGCCGCGGATCCAAGGTAGGCAGGCAGGTAGCCGAGCAGGGCCGCTGCTAGTGTTACCAACTTTCTGTTATCCGGCTCCTTTTCTGCACCTTGGTTCGAACATCTCGTGAGCGTCGACGTGGCAGCGCCCGTCTTTACAGGGTGCTCGTAGTATTAATCGTGTCTTACCATCTAACCCCATCATCAGGAGGCATCAGGACTTTCAGAGCTTCCTGTACATACTTTTTTTTCTGAAAAAAGGGGGGACTTTTATCGATGCGTGCCAGTATGGGAGATTGGGCAGCGAGACATGCGAGATGGATCAAGGAAGAAGACGCATGGCAAGGAAGAAGAGTCTGGAACGCGAATCGAGACGCTGATGTGTGCTCGCGCGGCGATCGATCATCTGTTGGCTTGGCTCGGCTCTCCACGCGGGGACGAAACGCCACCACGAACGGCCGCCGGCGGCATCTCGGCCACTTCCCTCTCCCGCAGATATTGCCGGGGGCACACATGATACTGCGGCAGGAAAAAATGGTAATGGGTGAGTGCGTGTGTGTACTCATGGAATCTTTTTCCCAACTGGAGGCCATCAACGCTTTTACTGACGATCGTGTTACGTACTCCCTCCATCTCAAATCGTAGGACGTTTGATTTTTTTTTTTGAACTTTAAGTTTGACCACTTATCTTATTTAAAAAACTTGTGTAAATATAGTCAAATTTAAGTTATTCTTGAAGAATTTTTATTAATAAACCAAACCACGACGAAAGAAGTGATATTTTACATAAATTTTTGAATAAGACGAGTGGTCAAACTTGGTGTCAAAAAAGTCAAACGTCTTACAATTTGGGATGGATTGAGTACTTATCATTGAGGTTTTAGGACATTTCTAACTTTATATTACGTATGAATGAAAATATGTTGAGAAATGACCGCGTTTGACGTCCCAATCCGACCGAGCAGAGTTGAGAGACCCTGTTGATGTTCCAATTCAACCGGCAAAGTTGAGTGTAAGTTGTGCATTGGCGTGGTATGGCGCAGTTTGATGTTCTAATCCAACCAGTCGGTGTTGTTTTCTTTTTTGTTTGTCTAATCTTTAATCTTCTTTTTAATATATTCGGCAGCTCTCTTGCCTGGTTCGTTTCAAAAAATACATGTTGCTAACCCCTTGCTATCTTGTATGGAAAATACCCACACCACACACAAACCCGGCCACAGGTTTTGTGGACAGAATATATGAAGCACTCAGAAGATCTGACTGACGTAGCGCTCCAGGCTCCCCCAGTCCACTAGACACTCCTTTTTTTCACTCTTGTGCCACAAATTAATACTAGTTTCCCACTAAAACGACAGCTGCACGTAACTATGTGCATGTAAAGATTAGCAAAAGAATTCTTAGTGAACCACAGCTGGGAATCAGGATTCAGCACCAATTAAGTTGCTTTTGGTACGATTAGGGGTGGTAAAGGCCTTCTAATTTAGCCTAACAAATTTAAGGATCGGGCTCAATACGGGCCAGGCCATAACATTATATGATTTTGAACTAAAAATATATAGAGCTGAGTTAGATTGTGAAGCAGGCATGAGAGCCATGATCCGTTACCACCCGTACGATAGAGAAGAAACCAATTAAGAAACAAATAGCAAGCAGGTCACTGTTGGCTACGGGCCCATACCAACAGAGGATTCAGTTACCGTTAGTCAGCTAAATTACTGTCAGGATTACCTGACCAGATTCCGTAAATACGTGTGGCTCATATGTTTATTTGCTCAAACAAGTCTATTTCAGTGCCACGAATATGATAAGTAGTTAATTAATCTGGTTTGTTGATGGGCATGATATGGGAGCTTACTCCGTGTAGCGGATAAGAGCCAGTTTAGCACCACTCTAGCTTCGACTTCTCCTGCGGCTCCAGCTGAAGCCCTACCAAACAGTTTTGTAAAAAATGGCTTCACCCCTAAAGCCCTAGAGGGGCGGGAGCCATTTTATATGGAGAAGCCGGAGAAAAAAAAAAGTGGCTCCTCTAGCTCCGGCTCCTTTTAGGAAGAGCCTTATCAAACTGGTCCCAGAAAACTGCCTGAAATAATGGCACAGCTGCTAACAAGATTTTTTATATTCGCCGACCGACGGCAAACACATAAAACAAGTAGTGGCAGTAAATTTTGCCAAAAAATTAAATATCATTAATTCAAGATGTGGTCGTGGTTCATCAATCTAGCCTGGCCACGGTGGAAAGAAAGTGATTTCAAAGTGAATTTGCACAAGATATCTCACAAACCTATAAAGGTCTGCACACAGAAATTTCCACTCGAGGCACAATAATACTACATTGGTGTTGGAGAGGTTTTTACTCTTGAACAAAATATGAAAAGATGGATTCAGTGGCTTCATTTATCTCCATTCATTAAGATTATCTATCACCATCGGCCTTACCAAAAAAAAAATCACTATCGGGCTATCATGTTCATAGCTCGAAAGCACAATAAAAATACTCCATTATTTTGACCTAATAAAGCACTCGATTCGATTGGTTAGCGAGTGACATTATATTAAGAATGAATATATGAACTTACGTATGCCGTGATACATGCCGATTAGTCACATGCAAACAAAAACAAAACCCCGCATGCTGGATGGAGTGGCATGTTACAGCAGCCTCCTTGCTAATTGGTGAGAAGAAAAGAAATCTTGAAGAATATTCTTAAGGTGACCAAGGAGCAAGGAATCGCTGACAGGTGGCTCAGCATCTGTGGCAAGAAGTTGACACAATGACATGGCAGGTAAAAAGGAAGTTGACACAAATTTGCCATCATATGTTTAAAGGAAGATTGTAAAAAATGTATTGTTGTAACTAATATTTATGATATTAGGCATACCATCTTCATACATGTAAAGTATAACTTGTACGCATTATCTTTGATCAAAGCTGATTAGGTTTTACTGCACAAATCACATTTCTCTACTGTTATTTTTCCTTTTGTTTGCGGTCATTATTCTCACCTCAAGTAGCTTTACATAGTCCAGGATCAGGCTCTGTTCTGCAAGTGTGTTTGAAATCATTATATTTTTCTTGCAAAATTCGATCTTTCAAGTCTTTTACCGTCTCATGAATCTATGCACAAGTTGGTTACTCGGACCCGTACGTACTGAACAAGTGAAGAAATATTCTTGTTATTCAGAAACCAATGGGCGCCCACAGCAATGGATGTTGGATAAGACAAGGACCCACAGATTTGCGAATTTTCTTGCATGAACTCGTGTACTGCAGAGAGAATCTAGCCCATGTGATTCACCCCCCTGCAAAGGAACCCAACTGATGAAGCACTGCACTGTCACCTTTAATTATAGTGGTTCTGGTTCATAATAAGTAAAGTTTAGTCCTTGTCAAATCGATTTTTTGAGATTAATTAGAAGAACTAGTTAATTATAAAACTAATTACACAGATGGAGGCTAATTCACGAGACGAATTTATTAAATCTAATCTCACGAATTAGCCTCTATCAGTGCAATTGGTTTTTTAATTAGTTTATGTTTAATACTCTTAATTAATATATAAATATTCGATGTGATATGAACTGAACTTTAGTCCGTAACCAAACGGGCCAAGTGGTCGGAACTTTGCATCTCCGACGCTGCAACCACAATTATAGATGCTTGTCGAACAGACCATGGTCATGTAATATTGATTATTTGAAATGCAGCCGATTATAAGATATTTTTCAAAAACGCAGCAGCCGGTGAGCCGCGGCCTTGCCTAAGAACGCAGCAGCCGGCGCCGATGGCGGAGCTGGGAAGCGACCACTCTTTTCCATCGAGTTCCAAGAACACTGCCTTCTGATGTGGCCTGGCCGGTGAATGCAGTAGGCACTAGGCAGCGAGCTTATGATTTGAGTAGGCCCACAAAGTTCAGAATCGTTAATCTATTCTCCGATCCATAATGTTATAATTTTATTATTATTGTACAACCTTTTCCCTTTTTCTTTTTCCTGATGCCCTTTCAGCAATTTTACCAGAACAGTGGTTCTGGTTTCCTCTATGTTCTTCTCATCTTTGTCTTTCTCAGCTGTATCTGTATTTGTACTCAAGTTTCTCATTCCAATGCAAACAATAAAATGGATGTACCCAACTAACCAACTAGGATCAACAGAATCTTCAGTTTATAAACAATGTGTAGTATCATCCAGAAGTGCTCGCAATAGCGATACTCACTACGGTAAACAAGACGTATATCCCCATAAGGCAGTAGCCCCAAAATCTGGGTACTCTAAACCTAGCCCAGGTGACCACCAACAGGGTGCCCATCAAGCTCAGAAGAAGAAATACAAATGCAACAACGATCCCAACATGGAATTCAAGTACAAAAGCTTTGGGGTACACTCTCGCTGTTTGTACCACGAGTGCAGTTCCCAACCCCACCAGCATATTGAACATTGGGCCAGCAAAGCAGCCTGCGATGGCGATTGTAGGCTGACCAGCCCTGGCCAACGCCACGTCGGCGACAAGGTCACCAACAGAATTCCCCCATGCCAGCACCGTCATTCCGAGGATAGCTGGAGAGAAATCCATGATGATTCCAATAGCTGCGAGGCAGTTCAGAAGCTCCCCAGCCATGGTTGAGATCCAGAAGACACTCATGATGAAAGAGATGAGGGTGCTTGGAATGTTTTCTTATTCTGGGGCTTCTTTCTCTAGAAGGAAGTGGGATAGAGCCAAGCACAAGCTAGCAAAAAGAACCACGGACCATACAGGGAAACGGATTTGAGGGAGAAGAAACACTATTCGGGTATCTAGAGGAATGAACGATGTTATGACTGGGAAAGTATATCACCGAAGGAACCGTGGCTGAGCAGTGGGGCCCCGCTGAGTCCTAGATTTCAGGGATTTGTTATTCAATCAGTTTGTTATTCGAGTCAGAATTAGATTCAAGTTGTTAGGATCAATTGTATAAGTACCAAACTCTAGTTGCTTAATGAAAGGTAAGCCTGGGATTGAGACTCACGTCTCCCTTGGGCCCCCAGCCTATTCTCCTGCACGTTATTCTCCTTCCCATCTACTCGCGAGAGCTCGACGCCGGCCACGGCTCCTCCAGTTCGCCGGCATCTCTTCAAGCCACGACCTCCAGTCCACCACCAGTACAATCTCAGGAGCCGAAGCGCTAACAACTTGGTATCAGAGATCATGGCTTCCTCTGGGACTTTCTCCTCCTCCATTGTGCCCTCTACCGGCTCGGCCACGTCACCCGTCGCTTCCTCGGGCGCAACCACACTTCTCGTCGTCTCGTCGGCTCCGGTGACAACCTCCGGGACACCGGCGCCACCGCCAGCGCCGCCCACCATCGAAGAATCATTGGCTGCCCTGGTACAGGCGCAACAACAGATGGGCGCCATGTTTGACGGCATGCAGCGCCAGATGGGAGAGCTGTCTTTGCGGGTGGCCGCCATCGAGAGCCGTCCCGGTCCGTCAGGACCGCCATTGCTGCCGTATTCCGATCCGCTCCGCCTGCAGTGTGGCATGCCGGGGTATGGGGCATCCCAGCGCTTCCGGCATCAGGGCCCGTCATCTCCGAGATTCTGCCTACGCCGCTAGTGCCGGTGCCCACGACGTCGCTTCCGGTGTCACTAGCTGTAGGCTCACAACCGCCACAGACTGGCGTGCCGATCCAGTCCATTCAGTTTCCGTCTTCACCGTCGCCGATTCCGTCGCTGTCCTCCATCCTACACGGGCCGGTCTACTCGTCGGCCACGGTGCTCCATTACTTACCTCCTCGTCTGCACGGGCAGCAGCGGTCTGAAGGCGACGGGGAGAGCCATGGAGTCCCCAAGTACCACAAGCTGTCCTTTCCTGTTTATGACGGCAAGGAAGATCTCCTCAGCTGGTTAAACCGCTGTGAGTCGTTCTTCCACGGCCAGTTGACTAAGGAGGCAGACAAGGTGTGGTTAGCTTCGTTCCACATGACCGGTGATGCCCAGCAGTTGTATTATATCATGGAGAGGGACACCGGTAGGCCGTCGTGGGAGAACTTCAGACTCCTGTGTCACCAGATATTTGGGCCGGCGCTCTCCACCAACCACCTCGCCGACCTTGCCCGACTGCCGTTCACTACGAATGTTGACGCTTACATGTCCGCGTTCCAGGCGCGCTTAGCGCACGCAGGACGGCTGCAGCCCCTCCAGCAGGCTCAGCTATTCACAGGTGGCCTTCCGGAGCACATCAGAATTGACGTGGAGCTGCACGAACCTCAGGACCTCCATTGTGCCATGCGTTTGGCGCGTGCTTATGAGCGTCGTAATGCCGCAACAACGCTCGTGCTCCCTGCCCCGTCTGGCCAGCCTCCACGTCGCCCTGCCCAAGGTCAAGGCAGCCAGCCGTCCACAGGGGTGTCGGGGTTCCAGACCGCATCATCAGCATCCTCTCCACGACCCTTCAGGTTCCTGACACCAGCAGAGATGAGCGAGCGCCGCAAACAGGGCCTTTGTTATAATTGTGATGAGCCGTATGTGCAAGGCCATAAGTGCAAGCGTCTATTTTATTTGGAGGCTGCTGATTATATTGTCGAAGAGCCAGATGATTCAGATGATGACAAGCAGCCCATGAACACTGCTGCAGAACCTCCAACGATATCGCTGGCTGCCATCGCCGGCGTACGGACGGAAGATACTATGCAGGTATACGTCCAGATCGGCAACGTGCAATGTCTTGCGCTGTTGGACTCAGGATCTACTCATAATTTCGTCCGAGAAGATGTTGCCCGCCGGGTCGGCTTGCACTTCGTTCCATGCCCCGGCGCGGGCGTCATCGTTGCCAACAGGGATCGAGTAGCCTGTCGCGGCCTTGCTCGTGACGTGGGCATACGGATCGCGGATGAAAGCTTTTCGGTGGACTGCTACACGATTCCTTTGGACAGATGGGATATGGTATTGGGCGTGGCATTCCTTCGCACGCTTGGGCCAATATTGTGGGACTTCGACGATCTATGTCTGGCGTTCACGCGCGGTGGTCACCGCGTGTTCTGGAGGGGAGTCGGTTCTACTCGCTACGATGTACAGTCAACGTAGCGCCTCAACTCCGTCCGCGCCATGGAGCAAGCAGTGCTTGACAGGCTGCTCCTGTCCTTTGAAGACGTCTTCTCCGAGCCTTGCGGGCTGCCCCCAGCCCGTGAATGTGACCATCGCATTCATCTGAAATCAAACACGGAACCCGTTGCGGTGCGCCCCTACCGGTACCCACAACTCCAAAAGGACGAACTCGAGCAACAGTGTGCAGCGATGCTACAGCAAGGCATCATACGTCCTAGCACCTCAGCTTTCTCCGCGCCGGTTCTTCTCGTTAAAAAGCAAGATGGCTCTTGGCGTTTTTACGTGGATTATCGCGCCCTCAACAAACACACAGTGAAGGATAAGTTTCCGATTCCGGTTGTCGAGGAACTGTTGGATGAGCTTCAGGGCGCACGGTTCTTCACAAAACTTGACTTGCGCTCTGGATATCATCAAGTGCGCATGCACGCAGCCGACGTCGAGAAGACAGCCTTCCGGACCCATGAAGGCCACTTTGAGTTCCTGGTGATGCCCTTCGGGCTCACGAACGCTCCCGCCACGTTCCAGGCCTTGATGAACACCGTTCTTCGCCCGTATCTTCGTAAGTTCGTCTTGGTGTTTTTTGACAATATTTTGATATACAGCCCTTCATGGTCTCTACACCTCCAACACATGAACTTGGTGCTCTCGGCCCTTCGGGAACACCAATTGCGGCTTAAACGATCCAAGTGTGCGTTCGCGACGACGTCCGTGGCATATCTGGGGCACATCATTTCATCGGAGGGCGTCGCCATGGATGGCGAGAAGGTGGCAGCAGTGGCCAGCTGGCCGCAGCCCCACTCAGCGCGTGGTCTTCGTGGTTTCCTCGGCCTCATAGGGTACTATCACAAGTTTATCAAGAATTATGGAACTGTTGCTGCCCCTCTCACTGCTTTACTTCGCAAGGATGGTTTCACCTGGACAGATGAAGCAAAAGCAGCATTTGACGCCCTCAAACAAGCTCTGTCCACTGCGCTGGTACTGCATCTTCCTGATTTTGATCGACAGTTCACAGTGGATTGTGATGTTTCGGGCTCGGGTTTTGGGGCAGTCCTACACCAGGGGTCAGGTGTAACACCCCTAGTGTTACGAACTTGTTTAGCACCATGATTTAGGCCTAAGAAAAATTTTCAAATCGAGTTCTATCGGGTTTTTAATTTAAACGTACTTGAGGCGATAAGCGAATCCTGTGTGACTTAGTTTTGTGGACTCAAATAAACGCTCAAGTTAAATTACGCAGTGCATAGAAATATTCAGGAATGTCCGACGACGATTCTAGAGAACGGTTTGTCCTGTTAGATTAAGCATGAAAATCAACTTTTATAAATAAAATAAAATCCATTAATAAATAGAACGATACATATAAACTCACGGGTTTATTTTGTTAAGCACGAACTGACGAGAAAGAGAGCGCAACAGCTTCGTTTATTTTTTTTCGGCGTGCACCATACTCGCCTGGCATTACTTTTGATTACTGTCTCGTTCTCATCGTGGCCCTGTAATTCGCTGCATTGCAAAGTCTCCTCATCCATCCGCATCCATGCTCTCTGGCTTTTGCTTTGTTTCTCTTTGACTTGATTACTATTGTCTACATTTGCCGAGCCGCTCCTTGTTTTTCCTCCCTCACTGCTTGTCTCTGTTTCTCCGATTGCCTGCCTTGCTTGTCTCTGCTGCCGCAGTCTTGTCCGTGCCAACCGGCACGCCCTGCCGGCCACGTTGGGCCTGGCCGTCCTACCGTCGTGTTTAAAAAGTAACCGAGCCGCACGCGTCTCCTTGCTTGTTTGTCTTGAGCTAGTCTGCGAATGATCTTCTTCTTTTCTCTTCTTAATTTAATTAGCACGCATACACTCTTTATTGCTGATCAGCCCCGTTGGCACGACAAGAACACACTCGAGTCCAAGTCTATCATGAATCAACTAGCCCAGTTGACACGTCGAAAGACCACTCAAGTCCATCGCCTGAAATCCAACACGGTTCATCGTGTCGTCTTGCACCGTCTTGCACGCCGGTACTGTAGCACCAAGGAAACACTGTACGGAGTACACAGTCACGCAGAAACACCGCGTGGAAAACACTGTATCGCCGTGGAAACACTGTAGCAGCGTGGAAACTAGAGGCTTCGTTGAGTTTGGCATCATAACTGATGCTACTAACATGGAAATTAGAGGCTTAGTTGAGATCATCCGGAAACAACTTGATGGTAAAAGGTATATCTTGGTTCTAGATGATGTTTGGGAAAATGATGTATGGATTAACAATATCATGGAAGTCTTTCCAACTAACTGTACCAGCCGGTTTGTTCTCGACATCAAGAAACTTTGAAGTTGCATCATTGGCAACTAGTAATTGCGAAATTGAGCTAGAGCCTCTAGGAGATAAGCACTCTTGGGAGTTATTCTCAAAGCAGCGACTTTCCGAATAGTGATGACAAAAAGGTGCCCGTCGAGTTACTGAGATTTGGTGTAAAGTTCTTACAAACGTGTGAAGAGGCTTGCCTATTGCCATTGCATGCATAGGACGTCTATTGTCAGTTAAACA